TAGGTAGTTACACGATTCCCACTACTAGCCAGTAGTAAATAATGATAGTCTGGCGTATCAAGGGTACTCAAATATCTTCAACTCGAGAGAAAAAAAAAAGTGATGTGGTTAACACTGAATTGAGCTGTACCTGATCTTGGCTGATCGTTCAGTTGGGGTCGGTCCTGAAATTATCCCGTAGAGCCCTCGCCATTAAATCAGATCAAGCCAGACGTCATTCGCGCATGCAACCTTCATAACCCACATCAGTAATCGCCCGACTCGGCCAACGACATTTCTTCTATTACGCTCCCAGAATCGTCATTTTACATCGGAAACAGATACACAACTCGATAATCTCATACTCCCCATCATCCGCGCTCTGCTTGTCGCATTGTTCGCCACAACCGTGCCGCTCGCGTTGCGCCTACTAGCCGCCGGCGATTTCGAGAGCTCGACAACTCATACGCAGGACAAACCCTCATCGTATCGATATTCAGCCACCGGGTAGCTCGCAATTCTCCGCATTGTCGCTCCCTTTGAGGGGCGGCGTGGTCCAAGATGGCGATAGATGAGAACGAGTATGGCGACCCTCACAGCCAACGAGCTTATCAATCATGACCATTGATTATCTCGAGACTAACATCGTGCAGCATGTACCCGACCGATGCCCTCGTTTCGAAGCATGCGCGGAAACATTACCGCATCCCCGTACGCTCACAGTATGTCATAATCCATCCTGTGGTGGCGCCATCATGCTCATGATATCCAGACATTGGCAGTTGCGGTCTCTCGTTAGCGCCGAGAAGCAGGACATTGTCTATTTTCCAGGCGGCAATGGCAGTAACCATGTCCAACGGCTGAACACAACAACCCGAGAATGCGAAACTATCAAACTCCTCACTTTTGCGCCTCGATGCCTCGTCGCCGAGAAAGGATGGCTATGCTGTGGGAGTGAAAGTGGCGATTTCGTGGCAATTCGACTCGATGAAGGAAACGATGATGGCCATGGAATCCTATCAGAACTCGATCCGGACACTCGACTTAGCCTAGGACTCGACTCATCCCGTGATGACCCCATACTCTCTCTTCTCAACCGTGCGAGACGAAACAACAAAACCCTAATCGCGAAAAGTATGAAGTTAGCCAAGGACCGGGTAAACTGCATTACACTTTGGTTCCCGCCAACAAGGATGCCAGCGCACGATAGGGCGTATAAGGAACCTGTGGCGGTATTGGCTAACAACGACCGTACTGTTACACTGGTGAGCCTCAACGATTTTGACCAGAAGGAGAAGACAGAGGCATTGGATATCATCACCTACCCAGACTTCGTGAACCGCGCACTCATCTCTCCAGACGGCCGGCTTCTGATCGCCATTCTCGACGACCCATATCTGTATGTCCATGAGAGAGTTAGGAGCGTCGCAGAATCTCCAGCGACGAGATCAAGTGAAGGTCCTACATACCAATGGGAACAGACACAGAGAATACTTCTCAAGAGCCAAAAGAAGGACGACAGAACAGATAGTCGAGGAAGTTTCGCCGCCTGTTTCTCTGAATCGGGAGCATATCTCGCTGTTGGGACCCAACATGGCACCATCTCCATCTTTAATGCTGCACTTCTCGCAAATCCTAATGCCGACCCCCTCATTACAACTTTTCCGTCCTCACGGCCACACAGTGGCCCCGGTGCCATTCGGGATATGGCCTTCTGCCCCGGACCATTCGGAATGCTTGCCTGGACAGAGGACAGAGGCAATGTTGGTATTGCTGATATGAGGAGCAATTTTTATGTTCGTCAAATTGTAAACATTGAAGAGCCGGTCTTTGAGCACATCAACATCCCAGACCGAAACACCATTGATCCCCGACTTTTGGATAGCCGCCGCGAGAGAAGGGATGCTGCCCTCGGATCAGGCGCTACAGAGACTGGGAGACGCCGAGATGTGATTGACACTCTTAATACTCCTTTGACTTCCAACGAGACACTTGTACTTGAGGCTATGCAGCTTGGTAGGCGTAGTCGTGAAAGAGCTGCTCAAAGAGTGGCGGCGGCGGCGGCGGCGGACGAGAGGGCTACAGGTGGTCCGACTAACTTCTGGGCGGCCAGGTCAGCCCGTCGAACTATTGGCAACGATGACAGTGAGCGGCCCATGGCTCGGAGGAGCAGTAGTATTGGTCGTGCCATGGGAGAACTGCTGGGCAGTAATTACAACAGACGTCCAGTGACAAGAACTCCACGTGAAGCCTCCGACACCCCGGAAATTGGAAGAAGGCCAGATCGATTGATGGAGAGTCTCGGTGAAACAGTGGCCATGCTTCGGGAACAACGGCAGCGCCAAGATTCATCCTACCTCACTGTGCTTGAGATTCTCCAGGCACGAGAGCGAGGCGATGACCGCGACCTCGACGATACAACGATCATAGTGCCGCTTATCAACCAGGCGGTGAATCCGGTGAATCGATGGGAGGATGACCACGGTGTCTTCGAAGTCCCGCCTTCGCCGGACAACACTGCCGGGTTGGCGTGGAGCGAAGATGGTCGTACACTGTAAGTCTCCTTTTGGTCATTCTGTATACGCTTTTTACTAACATGACGTAGCTTTGTTGGTGCACAGAACGGCATTTACGAGCTCCACGTGGACACTCAGAGCAGGAAGTTCTTCCCGAGCGTCTCGATGAGGTAAAAGGCCAGAAGACAACGAGTGGACGCGACCCTTTGTGCTGGCGCAGGTGGTTTTTAATGGCAACTTTGGGATGATATCTTGATTTACCAAAAGTGATGACCAGTGACGACGGTTCAGTATTAGCATGGGCACAGGATACCTTGAGTACATTCCTACCTCTTTCTTGACATGGCGTTTGCGATGTTTTATCTCAGTCACAATGCATTACCCTTCGCTTCTTACGTGCTCACATATAGCTTAACTGTTATCGATGATAGCTTGAATATAATCCAACAAATTCTAGCTACGACTTTACAAATACTCTGCTCTACAGTGACTTGCTGGTCCCGTAGAGCAATTCTTGTACCATCTCAGCGATCGCCAGTGAGCTCGTTAATCCAGGACTTTCGATACCCAATAGATTTACCCAGCCCTCGTATCCCTCCTCTTTCCTGATGATGAAGTCGTGGAACCCTTTACCTTTAAGGACAGCGTCTTGTCCAGCTAACTTGGGACGAATACCAGCATAGTCTGCCACTAAAGCCGAGGCGTCAATGCCTGGCAGATAACGCTGGATCTCAGTAATAGCCTGCGGCAATCGTGCTGCGTTGGCAGCTAAGTCATTGGGATCATCAATCCATTCCACATCTGGGCCAAAACGTAGACGACCCGCAAGATCAAGCGTCAAATGGGTGCCCAGACCTGCAATGCCAGGCTCAGGGACGGGGTATATGAGACGCGAGATCTTGGGCTGGGAGGCAGAATACGAGAAATAGTTGCCCTTGGCATAGTACAGCTCCTGTCGCTTCTCAGACGGGACAATCATGTTGTGAATAACCGCAGCTCCGAGACCAGCAGCGTTGATGAGCGTCTCAGCCGTGATACTCGAGGTCTCACCTGTGGCAGCATCCTTAACACCAATCTCCCAACCTTCACTACCGGGTCTAGATCCGAGAGGTTTGATGTTAACGACGGGTGAGTTGAGCGCCGAAACACCACCAGCATCCTCAAATAGACCCTGGAGACACAACATCAAGCCGTGCGAGTCGACGATACCCGTTGTCGGACTCTCAAGCGCACAAGCAGCATTGACGCCTTCACCGTCTCTCTTGACCTCTTCACCGCTCACCCATCGTGTTGGGACACCGAGGTCGTTCTCGCACAGTGAGTGAATCTTCTCGAGAGTGTCACGCTGTGCGTCGTTTTGAGCGACGATCCATTTGCCCGTGCGGTGGTGGCCTATATCGTGCTTCTCACAAAGCTCGTATAGCAGATTCTTGCCACGGATGCAGAGTTTTGCTTTCAAGCTGGATGGTCCGTAGTATATACCGGCGTGTATAACTTCACTGTTACGCGAGCTTGTCTCTGTGCCAACAGCATTGTGGCGCTCAATGAGAACCGTTGAGGTATCGTCCCGCTGCGCAAGTTGACGGGCCACGGCAAGCCCAACGACACCGCCACCAATTACCTACTACAATGTTAGAGTCATAGTCTCGAATTGATTTGGAATACATCGTGGCAACTCAATGGCGTTTGTCCCCCGCTCCCTACCTCGTGATCCTGCTACGGACGGGATCGATCGGGGACTGAAGCTCCGGCGCCGGAGCCGGGTCATGATACGGGTCTTATGATGACGATGAAGTGGACTTACAGCATGGGTGAAGTCGGCTCTAGCAGCTGACGTCGAACTGAAACTATTTCTTTGAATAGTTCGTATGTTTGTGGGGAATCTACGTGCCAATGGTCGAAGCATCATGAATGTTGTTTAGATTGAGTTGTTTGCAAGAGTGGGAGGATATTATATCTAGAATTCGGCCAAGATGATGCATACACCGAGCTGACCAACGACACAACGCAGACGGGGAGTAACACCATGCGCCGACCAAATCAGATACAAATTTCCAAGGAAACATAGAGATTTACTCTATAGCGTTTTGCATATCTTTTGGTGACACTGCAAGTGTGTAGAAAACTGCTGCTCATGAGCTCGATACCCTACAGGCCACTATCAGAAGCCAACTTGAGGAAGTCGTAAAACTTGAAGATCTCGATCGTTGATACAAATACAATTTGGCAGGTTGAGGATGAATTAATACAGAGGATGCTTGTGAAGCTTTTTGGAAACTCAGTTTTTGTCATATCAAGTCCAGATGACTATCTCATCCTTCCTTTCAAAGTGATCAAACTCATAATAATGTACACAGGCTGAATCCATAACGCCATATTTGCCTGGAGCTGGTTTTAATTGCCGCTGGAAAACCGGTTCCCGTCACTTCCGCTTTGATCGCTTAACGCCACATAATTCAATGTGCTTCGTGTTCTAAGTATCAGATAAAATATGAGCCAGCATCTTCAAGGCTTGGCTTCCTCAGCAATGGGCTTGTCCTCCTCCTTATCTACAGTTGTAGAAGAGGATCTTGTCAGGTTTGAGGGGTGAGGTGGCTCATGAGGAGCCGACGGACCAGTCCCGATGTCTGTTAGTTGTTTCTCTGAATATGTGTTAACAAATGTCCCATCAGCATGAACTGCTTATGGACTCACCTAGCTCTCGTACTCGGTGACGAAGCATCTGGTTCTCACGAACCAGCATCTGTGTCTCAGCCTGATAAAATGCGCTTTCATCACGACCACCCAGAACCCAATCCTCGCTATTTCCACCTATGGACGTTGCGCGAAGTCGTGGGGAGGCACCACTACGACTGGGCGTTCGAGATCGTCGTTGGAGGTCGGCGCGGGCTAGATCGAACGAGCTTCGGGGATGACGATAGCTATTGGAGCGAGAACCAGACCCGCCGGTTGGTACAGGAGGGATAGAGACATGAGGGCTGGAGGCATGGGGGGTTCCGTGACCTGACCGCTCGGAAATGGCAGAGCTATCCTCTACAGCTGAGCTCTGGTTCTGGTTGTGGGAGTTGGCAGCTTGAAGGCGCTGAAGTTCGAGCTGCTGCTGTCGGATCATCTGCAAGAGGCGGTTCTATCGACGAGAAGTTAGCCATTGTTGCGTTGCGTATGACATGGCATCATATTTCGTACCACGTGAGCTTCTTGCTCTGCCTCAAGCTCTTGATGCAGCTCACCCAGGCTGGGTGCTCGATGATGATGGGGATCACCAGTGAAGGGAGATCCAGAGAGAGGCTGCGGGCTCGCAGTGCGTAGGCCAGACGGTTCGTTGACCATCTCGCCTGGCGAGGGCACAGAAGGGTCGTTAAGCTGGAGGTTCATGAGCACGGTGGAACGTCGTCGACCGGTATTTGGGGAGTGTTGGTTGCGAGAGATGGAGCTACTTGACGATCCTGTTGAATGTTAGCGGCCGAGTAGATATGTTGTTTAGACACAAACTAGTAGACGACGTACTTCGTGGAGATTCGTGTTGAAGTCCAGCATTCATGGTCGCAGCTGCCTGCAACGATATCGAAGCTGATCGCGGGGATCTTGTTGGCGAGTCGCTGCGGGGAACAGCGGTGTTGAGTGGTGGAGACGCCATGATGATAGGTGCTTTCCTTGTATATGTCACTTTGGTCTTGGTTGTTCTTATAAGGTACAACTAGTAGACGTTTCCAAAGAGCGAAGAGAACCTCAAAAGAGAGTGTATGAGGAGAATCGGTGAATACGTCAGAATTAGGAAGACGTTGTTAAAACGATTGGTCGAGTTACAGTCTGTCAGTTTGTTCGAACTGTAGGTTGGTGTGGAGGGGTTATAGCCAGCAGGCAGATAGATAGAGGAGTATAGGTAAGGTATGCATGTACTACAGAGCAATTTATGCGCGTGTATATAGAAGAATACAGGTTGAAATAAGAATTTATGGTTATTTTGATAGGATATGAATACCAGAGGAGAGTTGGTTCAGACCCGAGGTCCATCGTGATCACCGAAACCAGATCGCAATGAGTAAGTCTGCGGCGGAGTTGCTGACGAGTGGCCTGCTTGTGTGCTGATCACGACCCTCCAAAACCAAGCTTCCAGGCTCGGCCATAGAGGTCACAGGGCACATCAGTCGATTGCGGGGGCTGGGGCAACTTTGCTACAGTGAACGATACTCCGCTATCGCTCTCCAACTTGAACCTGAACTTCCCCATGGGCATGTGCTGCTTTCAGCATGGTTAGACAACTATCTGCATTCATGATTCCAACCAAAAGGTCACGCAGACATGGAATTAGACCCATTAACTGTGATGACCTGGAATCACTGACACATTTATTGGTAGAGGCCATCGTGAACAATTTATTGCACAAAAGAATCATACTGTCGGTTCAACTTGGAGAGTCGTGATACATGGTTTACTCGCAATGACAGATGACCACAGCATCATGATTGCATTCAGAGCCCAAGTCTCACAACTGTAGGCTACTAACCTTGGGTATCCGAATCTTCAACACTGAAAAATAATACCCGCGGCGACCATAAAGAATCACAAGTCATCGACAACGGTATAAACATGTAACGAACCCTCAATACTTCTGAGACAGATATCAATGTAATCATCCGAACATCGCAACACACATGCAGCTCTATTCACTGCACCGACTCATTTGCATGTTTCATGTGAATCTGATACAGAATGGACCAACAGTTCCAAGCTCAACAGACAGGACAGGCCTCAACGGCCAGGATTTTGAGGGCGTTGATGATGAAACATGACTGCGTTGAGAACACGCCATTCTCACAGCTATGACCCGCAAGACCCCTTCGATTGACTCAAGGATATCAATTTTTTTTCATCGTTGGTTGAACATGTGTAAGACGCATGTCAGTGGCTTATGGCTGAAGGGTCCTGCAAGAAAGTTCAGGTACGTTAAATGAGTCTACGGTGGCTGATTATGAAGGAGGGAAGAGAAAACAAGCGCCTGAGTTAACAGTGCCTAGGTACTTACTGAGGCTGAAGCTGGTACCTTTCGCTGCTCCCGTCAGCCTTAGGCTCAGGCATTGATGCTATCTTGAGATGTCATCTCGTCTACAATAACTCACGAACTTTAAAGAATAAGGACGCCTAATATGCAACTATTCCAGGTCAGGAAATAACTTCATCCCAGCCTCTGGATTACACGTCGTCTTTCATCCCAGTGTCACCCTGACCTACAGGGTCCCTGACGATGGATAACCCGGTACAAGACGGATCTAGATCCCGCGGGGGCTTGTGTATTCAAGACAGAAGCTAATCGGCTGTCTACTTGCTGGAGAAAAGTCAGACATATTGGGCATCTTCATCTCGTCTTGCTGTAGTAAAACAAGCCACCTGAGATTCGCAATCCGGTATCCGTATATCGGTTCGTAATGTCGATCCGCCAGGCTATCCATGCCGGCCTCACAGTCAAGGTGTCATTCCGCTGTGTCGTCCTTGGTTTTTTCGCCGTTCGGCTAGTATGGTCCAGCCAGACTGGCGGTATTGTCTGTGCCAAAAGCCCTTGTCTCCTGGCTAATATTAACCTCAACTACCGTGGCTTCCGGCACTAAAACCTCCAGATCCCTGATGTTAATTGCTCCCGATTTTTTTTGGTGGGAAATTGGACTCTACGTGTTTTGTTGTTGCTGGTCGAGAGCTTGTTTGTTTGTTTATGTCTGTCCTTCACGGCATCAGATAGATCTTGGTTCTTGGACAAGTTGGCTGGATGAAGCTGAGACATGGCTTCCAGATTGATTAATTGGTCAAGGGGCCGGGCCGCCAGAAGTAGGGAGAACCGCCCTTCAGATTTGTGTAGATGGGACTGTCTTACTCGCTGCAACTTTCTTGGTTGAATTTGAGGTGAGCTAACCAGAAATTGGGCCCATGCTTGCGAGAAGTTGACATTTGAACCAGACAATTTCAAGCCTAGTCGAGCCCACTACTGCAGGAACACAGCAAAAGCAAAACAAGATGCATCTCCTGGTCCCAATTATCCACGCTCCTGCATAATGGCTTGGAATCAAATAAACCAAGAGGTTAGCGCCTTGTGCCCATCTGAGTGAGGTATCGCTGTCGTATTCGATCGATGGCCCCATCCGTATGCCGGGCAGTGGATGACAATTCTGATGACGACTCATTTTGCTGTGATAATGCTGACAAAAGAAAGAAAATGCTGCCGAGAAAAGCAAAATTAACTCGCAGAGTGACTGGCCGCGAGCGGAACCGCACTCAATCCTAGAACAGGGCAGCCCTGACATCCACGGATATTCTTGGTTTTGGTCGTACGGAATTTATGTTGAACAACTGATGCTGTGCTACACAATAGAAGGATCGGTGAGGAAGAGGTTCGCTTATTACTTCACAGCAATGGTCAGCTCTGCCAAGTTACCGCCTCTTGAGCGTCATATCAATGCATCTGTTGATTGTTGGCGCTTGTCATTCGAGGCACAGGATAAACCCAGCGAAATGACTGCACCAATTGTCCCTCACGTGCAAGACTTGCGTCAGCCATTGGATTCTTCAACTGCAATTTGGCTCTGAGATTGAATCATTCCAAAAGGCATCTCAAAAATGTAGGGGGCCCAGGGGTTCCTCGAGGCAGTTGAACAACAACGGAATCGCTTGTTTTTTACGGAGTACAGCCTGACCCCCAGTCCCGAAACAACAGCCATGCTCTTCAGCTGGGCGAGGCTTGGTAGTGAATGATTCAATCCTTGTATTTCCGGGTCGTAGAGGACTAAGAAAGTGGGATATCAATCGGACGTTTTGGCTAGAGGAACCGATCCCCGTCTTTTATCGTGATGAGACACTGGTCTGGCAGCGATAAAGCCGGGGCCACACACAACCAACAAGAGAGAAAAAAATCTTCATCAATTTCTGTTCCTGGAGCTCCTCATGCATAATGGCCGTGTGATAATATCGATTGACATGTTTATGATAAAAAGAAACGTTGGTATGTATGTGATATGACACTTAATGTGATCGGCATATCAAAAAGATCGTGATCAGCCGAGCGGCAGACTTCACCGTTCCTACCAGAATTTCCGAAAAGTGTGCCGGGACCTGCGACACGGCACCTTCTGCTGTTATTGGCTGCAGAAGGACAAACAGCAAGGATTGCCGGATTGAGAGCAAGAGTCACATGAGGATTCCTCGAAGCGATATCGCGCTGTTCCGTCATGGGACGGGAGGGAGATAGAGTCCATAGTGTACTGAGGACGTGTTGCCAGACGACAGTATTCTAATATTGGGAAATAACTACTCATCTATAATATAGCCAGGCAATTCTTATTATTATAATTCGTAAGCAGCAAGACTGAGGCCCGTCTATTCTTCCCTCATGAGATCGTGACCAGTCCACTGTCACGCTAGGACCGGCTTCTCAGCCCCTGATCCCGGATGGAGTCGTTGGGAAACCCCAAGTTCACAGGGTTTAAGCACGGAGACAAGTTGGTAGCAAAGGAATTGAGTCTTTTTTGCAAGCGGCATGATGACTGTATGTTGATGATAATCGGTCAGACGGAGGACTTCTATGGTCCATCTCATGGGCTTACAAAACTCAACTCACAAATATTGCTCCTGGGGAGGGTGAGATCAATATGCCGAGGAGCAACACAGGCCTGTGTGTTTTGTAAAACTGTTCTTTATTTAGGACAAAACAAAGTTTCTCCATCCACATTATCCACTCATACCGTGCACTGAACATCATTGCAACTTGAGATATTTGATCGAGTTTGTAGGCTTAGCAGAGTCGCATCGTGTCGCGATTAAAGCCGCGTCGATGTTCTTGGGCCAATAGAGTTGACGCTTAGTAGCATCACACCCACTTGTTTTGTAGACGTTGCGTGTGTGTGAATCTGTTCTCGAGTAACACACGTATGAAAACCGTCATTCCCCGTTGTGCTCTTGCCAAAACAGGCCCATAGTTCAACGGGTAAGCCGTTGAACTGGGTCCGAGCACACGAGTCTCACAAACTGTAAGTTTATTTTATATTCGTATACCAGACTCTTGGGGTGTTTTCTTGCTGTGTGTCTGTTTGGATATTCGGTAAAGGAGAAAGAGAACAATGCCGAGGATGATGAATCTGGACTGCCTTGAGTGAATGTGATTCCTGGCCTGCCAAAGTTAAACACCAATTAGTAGCGGGATAATCCCTGGCGGCCGTTTTGCAGGTTGACAGGGGCTCCCCTGCCCCTGGCTCCTCTTGTGCTCTTCTGGTCGCCTCGCTGAGTGGCCTTTGTCGTCCCCGTTCATGTTGCTCCTCAAGAACGGTCCCACTATCAATGCCCATGTTATGTTCTAAGGTCATGTCGTTCGCTGACTTGCTGTCTGTATGGGCGGGGGGTTGTGGGCTTGCTACTGTTGTATGTACCTGCATCTTTGGACCCATCGAATTGCGTCGTTCGTGCCTTTGGTGTTCCTGTAATAAGAGTATGTGCCTTTCTCAACAGTTCGATACGAGGTGTATTTGGGTGCTTGCTTTATGAGGCATCTTGGGCGAGCCAGCCATTACAGTGGTAGCATAGAATATTAGAATGAGGCTTGACATATGATGTCGAGTAACTCACTAGAGTTCAATGTTTCCCTTCAAGGACGCCCAA